CTAAATATTCCGTATCATAAATAATCATAATTTTAATAATTTTATAAAGTAGTATAAAAATTTGTAGTATAAAAATCGTATGTATGTATTTATTATGTGTAAATATATTTATCTTTTTTCTCATTAGTTTGCTAAAAGTTAACAAATTGTTCTGTAATAATGATCTGCACTGATGTGTCACAAACAATAATAATTATATAATTATCCATCGAAATAAATGATATTCATTAAGGAGATACTGGAGATCCTATTTTATCGACAAAATTTGATTAATTTTTTATGACTCATTACTTTTAATTACGGATTGAAAAGTCCTCCACAATTAAAGTATCACCAACATCGCAGTCAGATACAATTTAATATGAAAAACGAAAGAAAATTGAAAACTTACAGTTTTGTCATCGGCTTCTGCAATCGACTCGTCACAATATGTGCTGCATATAAGAGTTCAGGTCTCGCACACTTAAAATAAATAGCTATCAGTCTACAAAAAACTTTAGCTAAGGTTTTTAGAATAAGAGAACGGAGTCATGGAAAATTTCGTTTGTATACTACAAGTGAAGCCATGAAACCGAGCAGGAATTGTGTCTGTCAGTAGGTACGCGATGTTGCAAGAGATAACATTAGTATGTTAGATAAGAACAGATGAATGCACTTGAATGAGACACAACGATATGCAATGTAATATAAGAAATAAATGAAAGATGTCACTGTTATCAAATTCGGAATTTAAAAAATCTGTACTATCGACCTCAAGTAAACCGATAATGTCATATCTGCAGATAATTACCGGACGTAGAATACGATATGATCAACGGCTGCAAAACAGCAAGCATTGGAAGTCGATAATTCAGTATGAAGTTATATTATCGATTAAAGAATAAAGTGTTTTCTATTTTATCTACAGTATATTCGTTAGAATTAAGAAGTTAATGTTTGAATGAATTGCTAGAGGTCGTCTAGATTGTAAACTCATATTAAAGAAAACATGAATTAAATATTTCTTTGTTCATTAATAAATTGATTACAAATAAAAATTTATTTATATAATTTACAGCTTTATTTTTCCTCACAAATTATGTTTATACAAATAAATAAGTTCAAAATTCGCGTTTTAGTATTAAAATGGAGAGTATTTGCGGTACAGTATAAATCTAGCGATTTTAAATTTTATATTAAAGTCGATCATTTTAAGTTCAGTCTTAAGATATTATCAGGGAACTGTATTAGCATCGTAAGACATTACTTAAGACAATCTTAAAATAAAAATGTTACCCTATAATCGTAAAGACTGAACATCAGGCTGCTCCTTTTGATTGGTTCGTCATTTCCTACCAATTTGCGTTAGTTAGAAAGCACATATTTTTTACTCGTAGAATTTTGGAAGAAAATAGATAACACTCTCAAAATTTTATTAGAGACTTAACCAGAGATTGGCCAGAAAAAGGCCACTTATGATTAGTTCGATATTTTTTAGTAATTCCTGTTAGGGCGAAAGAACACATATTTAAAAAATGTTGTACAAGAAGGAGAAATAGCTAATAAGAATCCGCGATTGTTGGTTACGTTCAATAGAGAAAACTGATCAATGTGAGCAGTCAGTGATCCTTTAATGTAATTTTTTCTTTATATTTAGATCCAGTGAAAATTTAAAGGCAAGATAAGAATTATTATGTTAAAGAGTCGCTGCAATTTTTCTACTAAACAGCCATTCGCTTAAATAAAAATTACTTCGTTATTGCAATATCTAGAGCTTTAATTTTATAGAGCGTGTAAAACGAGTGATACTTTTGTTATCTTAAATTCAAAATAATCCTTTTCAAGTATGCGTGCTAACGTTCATGTACGTCAAATACCTGTCTATACGATTACTCTAGAGACTTTTCCCTGTAATCAGAGTCTGTGGATACGAGCTACGTTTTATGGGAACGTTCCGTTTTGCGTTTATAGCGCTAGTAAGCATCATTTGTCCTTGTTTAATATTTGATGGGCAGTAAAGATGAACTAATGCTTCGTACGAGCATGAAAACAGAATGCATTCAATATGATCTCTCAGTAAGAGATTTTAACAAAAGCACACACGAAATAGAAGGACATACTATTTCTTTCTTTCTCTTTTCGTTTTATCTTTTTCTATTCTCTCTCTCTCTCTCTCTCTTTTTAGAGGCTATAATATTATAATGTATGTACTTATATGTATATTTTTAAGATACTAAATGACATAAGTCAGAAATTGTGGAAATTGAGAGTGAAAAACAAACAAGGCAGACCGGGATATTGCAATAAAATTCCGCAAAACAAAAAAGTACACAAAAGAGTATGTTGTATGAAGAAGTAAAAATATATAATGCCTTACCGTATGAAGTAAAGCAATGTGAGAGATTTGAGCTATTTAAGAAATTATTAAAAGAATATATAATATAATATTTAATGTTACTTAAATTTAAGATTATGTATTATATTTTATTGTATTCTTGAAATAGCGAAGAAAGCTAATAAAGATCACTCATTCATTCATTCTCTCTTTTTCTTTTTCAAAAGTTGTTAAAACACTAATAAAAAATAGTTATTGGTTCTGATTAAAGATTACCCCAATCGAATCGTTTTTTTTTTTTTCAAATATGCGTTTGATAAGCGCGTTAACGCATGGCAATGCATGTATAAAAATCTACCAAGAATAAAGATTTAATTTTAGAAACATTATATAATTATTATTAGAGGCATTATATTATTACAGAAAAATAATTTCAAAGAATTTAAATAAAAACAATTAATTTTACTTAAAAATCGTTTAAAAATATAAAACTTTGTTTATTATTTTTACAAAAGTAATATAACTGTCAAGCATAAAGTCACCAAGAAGATAACTATAAAAGAAATTAACGAAATATGGGAATTATATTCGACATAAATTATTCACTACTGTAACTATTAATAATGATCACATTAGAATGATCGAAACGTTTAGTTAATTTTGTAATAGATTTGTTTTTTTTAATAAAAATTGTAAGATAGCAAAATAGAACTTGCGTAGCTCTATAATAGCCCAGAATAACGAAGTTGAATTTTGTTCATATAGAGCCTGATGATGAAAATTTAATTTGTTTATTATTTTTCTAATAAACAAATTTGATGTATTGATTTATAATTTGGTATGTGTGTGTACATTTCAATATGTATTAGTTTGTCAAGTAAAAGTTCTAACATTCTTTGGGTTTTACATACAGAAACATTATCAAATACTATTGCAAAGTTTCGTCTGATAAATTTGATTCTGTGTGAAGATCATTTCAGATATGTATGATAACACAGTTTATGGCGTGTTTCTTGTTTAATCCACAATAAAGCGGTTTCGTTAAAAGTCATTTGTATAGAAATAAGTTAAACGAAAGTCTCGCCGCGTATATTTATTCATTTCTGACGTCGTAATTCTACTGTGGGTGATAATCCGAAGATAAGTGTAGAAACAAAACATGAAAATTAATTATACATGCAACCTTCGCGCCGCGCGCGAGCACGCACATTATGTTAATTTTTACAAGAAAAAATATTATTAATTTAGGACTTGTTCACACATGCGCGCGCATGCAAAATTGTTCCGTGTTGTTTCTCCTTTGTGGATATTAAAGACTTGATGTGCATCGTTTGTGTAAGATTAAGTCATTTTTACATAATATCATCTACATATCTGTATAAACTTTTTTTATTCGATGATCTGAGAGATCAATTCTGATGTAAATTTAATGTGACTCACTCCGTTAAGCGACAAATTCTGATGCAGCAGCATATACAATATAATTCACGTATATGCATCGAACATTACTGTGACAGCTGATTTGTCGTAAGTAATACAAATTCCTAGATAGCACAGAATATTTATGATAAATATTTATTACTATTTATTTTCTGAAATGTTATATAAATATTTTATGCAATATTTATGATAAATATAAATAAATATTTTCAATAAGTATTTTTACTTAGATTATAACGACTCATTAAGTATTTTCATAGCATTTACTGTAACATTTACAATAAACATTTCATTATATTTATAATGAATGCAATCTAAGACCACAAAAATATTCACGAAATATTTTGTAAATATCTTATAAATATTGTGTGCTGTGTCTGGACTACACTTGGGACTGATTATCTTTTCTCTAAAATCTCTCTCTCTCTCTCTTTGGAGTGAAACCTAACTCTAAAGAGTAATCTTACTCTTAAAAATTAACAATTAAGCTATTTTTTTTCACTAGCTAAATCTCGTCACTCTTTAGAATTAGATTTCACTCCAAAGATTTCAGAGAGTTTATTACGCGAGATGGAAGTGCATACTTGAAAGAAATTACCGTTTTGTCCTGAGCATTAATTAATTACAACTGTCTCGAGTTAGGAATACCTACAAAATTTCCCGAGATACATTTCGCAATAACGTTTTATCAAACCTGTTCTTAGCAGTCGTGTATGTCAATATTTGACTAAGTTAATCAAACTACTAACAATAAGCCATATTAGCACGATAAATTAATAACTAATTGCGATTTAATCGGCGAACACAGAGCGGGTTGTAAACCTGATCGGTCGAGAGTACATCAATTGGTAAATTACGCGCGTTAGTATTTTAGCATCAATTTCACCACTCACTCGAAAACTGGACCAGTCGACCCTGGTCCAAATCTGGACAAACATGGCTGATAAAATGTTTCCTCGCAAATTTCCAGTTCTAATAGTCTTAATATCCTTCCGTTAATTTTTACGTCTTCCTTTTTCTTTTCTTCCTTTTTATGATTGAGATAAAGAATGACAAATACATATATACTGAATAAATCTAGTATCGGACGATTAGCCAACCGATTCACTGCTCACGGATTGATAATACCAATGCGATAGTGACATGAAGAATCAATTTTTAAAGACACAAAAAGTTGAATCGGCGTAAAGGAGAAAAGAGAAATTAAAAAACGGCCCTTAGAAAGAAATAATCATAAATCACTCACCGGTATCGTTCTCGTGGCCTTGTGGTTCATCCCCCACATCCTCGGTGGCTGTGGAAAATGCTGCAACAGATAAGGAAAGAGCAGAGTGAGATCAGCCGTTTTACATTAGAGAGACGCAGGGACGGAGAAAGATCGAGGGGAATGCGATTATTAATGCAGGTCGCGTCGTGAAGTTACGTGCTCTCAAGGCGATCGCAACCTTCCACGTTGACGGACGGACATTAAACTATAAGCATTAAATCGCAGCCAGCCCCGCGATAATTAACCCTTTGATTGGTCGGAGTTATTTATGCGCTATGACCTCTGACTGGGTTCGGATAGAAAGATAAATGCAAAATTAGGCTTGTTTGCGTATTCGATTATTATGACAATTTCAATGCTGCGTAAGATTATACACATTGCATGTCTCCAAATTACCAGAATGCTTGTCAATAGTTATATTAGAATAAATTAAAAGATTTAAACGAATTTATTGGCTCGTAGCCCTGTTTCTCTTTATTAGTTTCAAATAATTATATTAAATGAACTCTACTGTAACCAAGATCACATAAAATCAGGAGACACAGTAAAACATTACATCGATTTAGTAAAAGTAAATTATTAATAATTATCAGATAAAAGTGTCATTATATATGACTATGTCCAATCAAAAGCAAATCGATGAGAAATGTATTGAATAAAAATTATGATAAATGATAATCTCTACGATATTTTTATTCAAAAAAATTTTTATTCAACTTCTGTCAAGGACTTTATTACAGAAGAATATCTGATGGTTCCAGAATAGCTTGTTTAAAATCTATTACATAAGCATAAGAAAGACGTATAATTGCGTAACGCGAACGATTTTATTTTTGGGACAATACTGATGCATTTCTGTGTCTGTGCGATATATATTCAGGAAAATATAAAATAACAAAAATTTTGATAATTATATATAATTTAAAAGTTGATGACTAAGTAGTTTTGTGAAAGTCATGAGGATAAAAGTAACACCGAGAATTATCAGATAGTCAAAAATGTAATGTTGATTAATAACATTTTATTAGATGTAACAATTGAATTTTAGTTAATAGAATAACAGAATAACTATAATAAATAGTTACAATAGTTATAAACAGTAACATAATAAAAATAAATTATGATAACAATGATACTTGATTATATAATTATATTTCTTTTAATTTAGATACATTTTTTTCTTGAATATAATTACGGTGATAAACCATGAAGTACTATGATACTCTTTTTCAATAATAATACTTTTTTTAATGAAATTATTTTATATATCTGACTATACTTATTTATTTTCATTTCTAAAACATAATATAGTATATAGTTAAGGTAGTATTTATTTTCAATTTTCTAACCGTTGGTATTTACTTTTCCTTGAGTGCGACAAAATGTGAGAGAGTAGGAACAATACCTATCGCATAAACGACACAATCACATCTTTCCATACAGAATAATTTAATTTATTCTATTATGAGGTACGCATTTTTTGCCATTTATTCTCGATTGTTATTTACTCGACAGGCGCGAACACGCGTATTCCCATGATCGATCCTATGCGGTGATTGGAGAATAAACTTTGCTCGGTGACCCATTAAGTCTGCAACCTGTTCTACAACCTACATTATAGATGTAAGCAATATCACTCTGGAGATTTCCTCCATTACTTATGTCTAGAAAAGATCGATCGAAGGAACAATCGTGATTCTTTTAAGCAATTTAGGTTTACGAGGCATTCAAGCATTGAACTGTTATAACAATATATCTTCTTCAACAAAACAATCTGACAACTTGTTTAAATATAATTACTAAATAATAAATAAAATACAATCTAATTATATATGTTATATTACATTACATTGTATTATATATAATATATTATTAAATAAAATAAAACATTTTATTTTTTTTATTTTATATCCTATTTTTTAAATTTTATTTTTGTATAGAAAACTGTATTGTCAAAATGCATCTCTCAATTATCGTCTTTTAACCCAATTTTGGAATTGATGGATGATCACATAATGCTGCACCTTTGAATATTTTTTCAATTGCGAGAAACTGAACTCCACTACATCTATGTATCTATTAATGCCGTGTATTGTTTGCTGATGAGTGACTTTAGTGGTGTTTTTTAAAGGTATGTAGGAAAATTATCGGGCATAGAGCCAATTATTATGACGCAAAGTAAAATTATGAGTGACTAAGCCAGATTAAAAATATCATGCTGTATTGTAAAATTGATGTAAAATACTTTATATGAAAGTTTATCTTATCTATTTGTTACACACATATATTTTATTTAAAAACAACAATAAAAGATCTGTTTAACATATTTTAAAATTATTGAAATTTTATTTTGCTTTTTCGTTAAAAAAATCAAACATATTTTATATTTTATTGTGAAAATATTAATATATTGAAAAGAATTACATAAAATTCTTCGAAATATCATATTGTCCCAATGATTATAATAATAATTTTCAAGATAAATTCTAAGAGAAATTTTTTTTCCGTATTCTTTCCGTTTAAAAAAAATAATAATAAATCTGTTTTATGTGTTTACTACGTAGAATTTACAGTATTTTCTACATATACAATGCATACAGTGATCATATGTCTTTTATTTTAAATAGCTGTTCTTTAGATTGATTTGTTTCAGAACTCAACTTTGTCCTTTAATTTCCAATGTTGTTCTTTAATATCAATTATTTCAACTTTTTTGACGGAAAATTCTTTTCTAACTAGCGTTCCAATGTGTAATGTTATATTAATGAGCAAATTTTTGTGAAAAATATTTTACAGTTTCATGCATATATAAATACGATTTGTTTTTGTTAATTACATTATATTTCTTAATTTTTAAATTAAATTTATTCAAACTAGAGTTGTTTTCATTTTTCATTATTTCGAATCTTTTATTATTTCAGATTAAATAAAATTTGTCCCAATATAGTCAATTAGTTTCTAACTATCAGAAAATTGCGTATTATTTCAATTTTATTATATTATACTGTGCAATAAAGTTGTATAACGCGCAGATTTTTAACACAATCAAAAACTAGTTTGAAAACATGTAGGAACGAAGTCCTACATTATCTCTTTATCTTTCAAAAAATATGATCACTGTGGTAATACATCATTGCGTTCCATCTCAACTATAAGCGTCGCCATCGGGTGGAAAGTGCGTTAAAATCGGCTACGGCTGCCCGAAGAAAGTCAGTGTCAAACATCGAACTCTCACTGTGCGATATAACAAGAGCGGGACATACGGTGCACCCGTGTCTCTAAACGCATATCATTAAATGCGCCCTATTGTTCGTATTTAATTCAAATGTCGCTGTTGCACCGGAGCCCGTAGTGCGACACAACGTCTGAAAATTACGGATAGCACCAGACATATACTTTGTCGTACGTGCCCGTCACCAAATGTGTCAGCGAAATGCACGCTAATCGCTTTAATTAATGAATTCGGGCTTTAAATGCGGATATGACTTACGCAAGTGATGGTGTTTACAAATAATGGAATTATTACGTATAGAGTAATGATACTAACACACAGAATTAATCCGTTCATATTGTGAGTCTTTCATTATAATATAATTACACAGACACAAACAATTTTTTGATCCAAAATTCAACTATGATATTCTTATAATTATTTTAATGCTTTAAAATCAAATCCGATGTTCAAATTGTTTCATCACATTACAATTTTTGTTATTGACGGAAAATATCTTGATACTTTAATATATTTTTTACTTAGCAGTTTGCATTAACTTATCTATAAACTTAAATTTATTACATTCTTTTTACAATTTTTTATGTATATAAGCATTCAAAGTTAGCGAATCATATCGTTCGAGTGATCGGCATTTTGCCTTACCATATACTACATCTGAACATACGGAAACTTTAGGTGATATGATTCGCTAAAGTTAAATGCTTATAATTAAAAAATTATTATAGCCAATTCAATTTTGCCAACAGTTCGAATTGTCCTTAACTGCCTGAATCGTTTACGGAACATTTGTGTAAATCTTATCCTTCACGTAATTCCAAAGAAAAAATCCAAGTGTTTGTAATGAAAAAATCCAAGTATTTGTAGTGATTTTTTCCATTTATATGCGTTGCTTAAACGAATATTGATCCATTGTTATTAACCGCATAGTTTTTACTCAACAACTGTCAAATATAACAACTCCATCTATTCTTTCTCTTCCTATAGTCGTTGTTCAGTTTCGAACGTTGTGACTTATGGTATTCCCGCAAAATCTATAATATTTTTTCAACTGTTCTGGTCCTCGGAACTTCTCATAGTCTCTGCAATGGATAGGTCAGTAAGATTCGTTATTTGATCGATAAATCTGTTGGGTGATCTTCCCCTTCGTCCTTTGCTATCTACCTTTCCCTAAACAGTCAATTTCTCCAAACTGTTCCTCCGAATAATATACATATGTCCGAAGAACACCAATATCCTCCATTAGATGTGCGACGGTCGGTCACTCATACTGAGTTTAATATCGATCAGTTTATTCGATGAGCAGTCCAGGGTATCTAAAGCATTTATTGATAGTACTCGTACTTTCAAATTCTTTTATTCGTCTACGACACGCAGCCTTGATTGTCCTATTATGTTTCTGACCCATATGTTACTATAGGAAATATTAAAATGTTCATTAATTTTAACTTTGTATGTTTGATTATTTGATGATCTCTCCATGTTATTATTAGTTTCGCCCTGCGACGCTCTTATTATTCCTGTCTGTCGTATCTGATCTCATCCTCACAGTCTCCGTTGTCCCTTATTCAAACACCGAAGTATATTACCTCCTGTTTTGATTTCTATGTAGTGCGGAATAGAGATGTGCCATCTCTTCTTACGCTATAGACACCCCTACGGTGTCGTCGTTTTCTGTCGCCCTCCTAATTATCCACTCATCATAGATGTTAAATAATTTTGAGGAGAGCACACATCCCCGTCTAAGGCGTCTAATTGGCGCCTGTTTTGTCTTTCATGGGTATAAACCGTGGTTGAAAAGTGCTAG